CTTCCAAGTCCTTCCCTGCGTCCAGGCTTCCTCTGTCCTTGAAGGTGGAGAAGCTGGGTGCAGCCAGGAAGGGCCGCTGGGCAGTTTAGAGGGTAACACCCAGGAGTAAGCCTCTGTCTCACCCAGGCATGGCCAGGGAAGAGCCCCAGAGGGGCCAGAAAAGAAACAGCCAAGGGCATGATCTGTGAATTTAATTTTTCCACCTAAACTAAAGACAAAACAGGCCCAGACTGTGGCTTGCAGTGCCTGGGCAGCAGCGTTCCCAGCCGCTTTCAGTACCTTCTCAGCCTCCTGGCTGCAGCTGGCTAAATCCACTGTGGAAGGTCTCCCTACAGTGTCCATAGTTCACGCCTACTCTGATCAGGAGATCTGAGACCAGGACGTGGAGACCCCTGACCACTGACCCTACCCAGGTTCCCCAGGCCCCAGCCCTACAAATACCCACTCTCTCCACTTTCCCCTAAACTATTGCTTACTAGAGTTTAGAGTTAGGACTCTGTCTCTCAAAAAAAAGAAAGATAACAAAGTGATTTACAGATAATTAATTGCATTAAACTATTGACTAACTACCTCGCTCAATAGTAATTCATTTAGAGAATATTAAAATCGGAAGAACAATAATAAAATTGATGCCAATTCCCACGGGGAGGGAGATGGCCAGCAAATTGGATACTTTTCTTAATCTGGCGTAAATAATAACACGCCTGCTTCCTTCTCTCTCAGGCCAATTCCCCTATCATTTATTCCAGACTCTAAAGCTGGGCTTCATAATTGATATCAGTTACTCAATGAGTGCGCTTTCATTTGTTCTTGTTATCCGTGATAATTGCGAAGTTCAGCCTCTCGGAATTGGGCCGGCCTGGTGCCTCCAGCGCCGGGCAGGGCGGGCAGAGGCCGGGCTGGGAGGCGGAGGCTCCGCTTCTCTGCGTTTTCCCCGTTGGAGGCAATGTGTCAGGTCCGGGCGGAATGTGGAGAGGTCCCCAGTCCCGCCCTGGGGCGGCGGCGGCCGACACGACCGGGTCCTCCTTCCGCAGATGCCAGTTCGAGCCGCGGCCCGATCCGGGAAGAAACGCTCCGTGGCTAGCCCAGGATTAAGAGGCGCGGTGACAACCCGTTTTTGTTTGAGAACCGGTGGGTGGAAGCCACGAATCCCACACGACATCTGGGGACCAAACGCCCAGAGCCTGGAGGATGATTTGGGAGAGGAAGGAAGAGGGGGTCAGGGGAGGGATACGGCTGGGAAATGGCCCCTCCCGGCGCCTCCCTGACCCCAGGCCCGGGTCCCGGACCACACAGACCCCCGCAGGCAGGCTGGAGCCCTGGCAGCTGGGCCGCCCTGAGATGACGATTTCGTTATTTATTCACTTATTTATTCATTTATAAAGTGTTTACTTAGCTCGGTGCAGATGTAACATCTCATTTACAGCGTGGCCTCCGGGCACAGAAACAATTGGCAACAAAAGAGTAACTCCGGAGAATTAGAGAAAAAAACCACAAAACAACACGAATCGGGGGCGGGGTGAGCGCTCCGGAGAGGCGCTGGGGGGCGGGCAGGGTGGCTCCGAGCCCAGGAGCCCGACGGACGCACCTAGGCCAGGGCTGCGGTGACCCCTGGGCCCCGCGTGGGAGCAGCGGGCAGCCCCTCCCCAGGAGGCTGTGGAGGCCGAAGGGAGTCGCTGGGTACCCGGCCCGGGCTGTGTCTGAGCGCCAGGGATGCGCAGAAACGGGGGGGCTGGCCGCGCCTCTGCAGAGGCCTTGGAGGAGCCTCTGGAGCGGGCTCCGCGGGCGCGTGGGGTGGGACCTGCTGGAGACCCGCAGGCGGCGGCGGCCAAGCAGGGTGAGGCAGTTGGCACCACAGGTCGCCCCCTCGGCTGCAGTCGGGGCAGCTTCAGGGGGCCGCGCACCTCCCGCTTCACGGCCACGGGTGCGGGCGGCTCCGTCCTGGCCTCACCCCCCTCCCTGTCCTCAGCCTGGGGGCTCAGGGGTCCCGTTGGGCGTGTGTCCCGCCCGGGCCCCGGTGTAGGGGACGCGAAGGCCTCAGGGCCGCCTCTCTCCCGCCCCCAGCACAGCGCCCCGAGCTCTCAGCCGGTCCTTGCGGCCGCGGGATCCCAAGCCCAGCAGCGGGGAAACTGAGGCCTGCAGCACCGATGCGCGCAAGGAAGCTCGATGGGGTCAGAGGGGCGGAAAGGGAAGGCGGGCCGGACCCCCCGGATCCTCAGGGCCTGGAGCGCGTGGAGGGCGTGGACCACCCCGGATCCCCCACCGCCGGGCGTGTCTGCCGAGGGTGTCATTGGGCGCCGCGCAGAAGGGGCTTCTGAGGACCCGCCCCTCCCCCGCAGCAGTCAGGGCGCTGACGGAGGCAGCTGCGCCTGTTTAACTGGGAGCCGGTTGCTTGGCAACCCGAGGCGGCTCATTACCGCGGCCACAGTGATTAACCAAAAAAGAAAAAAAAAAAAAGGAAAAAAAAAAAAAAAGAAAAAATACAAGAAAGAAAAAAAATAGGGGAAAAGCGGGAATATGAAAGTAAAATGGATTATTTAATTAGCTAATTGATAATCAACTTCTTTTTAATTATTCACTTAATTAAAAAAGTGTAACTACAACACTGCCCTCATCAAGCTGTGGTTGCACCGGCAGGTTTCAAAGCCTCCTCTCCCTCCCCTTCCTCCGCCCGCCCCGGGGCCGCTTAGGGCTGGAGCAACCCTTCCTTCTCTCCAGCCATGTCCCCCACCCTTAGAAGGGACTATTGAAAACATATTCTTCCCCAACTGCCGGGACAGCTCCACCCACCGGTGTCCAGGGACCTTCCCGGAGGGGCCCGGGCACTCTGCCCTCCGCCTCTGCGTCAGTTTCCCCATTTCCAGGACCTGATTTCGGTGCTGAAGTGCGTGTGGGCAGGGCAGTTTGGGTCCCCGCCTTCGTGGAACTGGTGTTCTGTGCAGGAGGCAGGCAGCCGTACCCTGGAAAATAGGAAAGGAGAGGATAGTGTTTGGGCCTCGACGCCAGATATGAGCACAGCGGGTGGTTATTCCCCACGAAGGCAGCCTTGTTGAGCAGGGAGGTCAGCACAGGGGTGTGGTCCAAAGGCTCCACTGGTGGCCGAGTTTTGAGTGGGATGAGAAGCTGGAGGATGCTGGGGCTGGGGGGCGTGGTGATACCGGGGTGTCTCTCCATCTCCCTGTGGGGCGGGTGCTTGTGGGGCTGAGGGGCACTGCCTCTCTTAGCAATGTGCTCCCGCTCTGGGCCACCCATATCCAACGCCCGCCTCCCTGCAGGTGCGATGCTGGCCTGGGCCTCTGGCTGGGCCAGCTCTGAGGGAGCTTTCCGTGGGATAGCTGGGCCTCTGTTGCAGTTGCAACCATGCTGCAGTTTAAATTCTCCCTGGGTCCAATCCTGTTTCCCTCCCCTAAGCCTCTTGCACACACATCTCGGCTCAGGAAAAGCCACGCGGAGGCAGGGCAGGCAACGCCCGGGCCGGAGACCCGGATGGTGGAGACAGTGCAGTGGAGTCCGCACTGCTGGGGGCACCTGCTGATGAGGTGGGAGGGTGAAGCCACGGGGCGATACCGGTTTCTGGACTTGTTCGGGTGGGCGGGGCTGAGTGGGGACGCGGTGGGGGATTTGGGCTGGGAGGGGGGTGGGGTGTCCTGGCATTGCTCTCAGCACAGTCCCGGTGGTCCCCTTCTTTTTCCTTGGCCTCCCCTCTTCCTTCATCCCCCAACCCCCGGTTTCTCCCAGTCCCAGATTCTACCTTCCCCTATATCTTCCTTCCCACGGTCTCCACTCTCTCCATGCTCTCCACGGCCCTGACCCTGGGCCAAGCCCCCTTAGACTCCTTTTAACCTCTGAAAATCAACAGCAGCTTTATCACCGGGGAGTGTTGGAGATTTTTCCTTGGAGGAGAAGGAAAGGGGAGGCTGGTGACTGCCCCCTCCACTCCCCCTACCCCCCTTCCCCCCACTAGCCGCTGGCCTGGACCTGTCCCTTCCCTCTCAGGGTATGAGGGCCTGTGATTCATGGGAGTGCGAGGGCTGCTGCTGGCACTGGAAAGCACCCACAGGGACCCCTGCACCCGGGCATAGAGACACTGCAGTCCCTGGCAGGGTCCGGGACAGGCCCAGGGCTGGAGGGAGGGGTCCATGACAGGCCACCCTTCCTGGGGCAGTCCCCCTCCACTTCCTCCCACATCTCTATTTAGGGCAGACAGGCCAAAGGGAGCCACAAAGGCGTGTTGGGCAGCCCGGCAGCGGCAATGAACCCTGGCAGATTTATCTGCTGGAGCAGTGGAACCCCGCCTCCTAGGGAGTGAGGTTGGAACCAGAACCTGGCGGGAGGGACGGAGGGAGGCAGGGCGGCAGCCTTAGGGTGTGGCCCGGGCTGAGAGGGGCTTCACCCCCTTCCTGCCTTTGTCTCTGGTAGGCCATGGTTACATGGGGAGTGCCCAGGAGCCCCGAAGAGCAGCTCCTTGCATATGTGACATCAACTCTGTGATAGGGGTGAGGGGGCAGGGCTGGGTGGCTCAGGTGTTTTGTTTTGCTTGTTTTGTTTTCTGCACGTCTGGGTCGTCGTCACCAAACCCTTTCTTCTATATCTGTGGTGAGTCTGAAAGTGTATTCCAGTAATTCCAGCTATCAAAGCTGTTCCATAAGAATATCTTAGCTAAGTCTTATTTGGTCTTCAGGATGGTTCATTGGGCTGGCGTGGGAGTCCCTGTGCCCAGTGCCCAGAGGGGGAGCTGGCACATTAGAGGTGAGAGGAGCTCAGGGCACAGTCTTTTTTTGAGACAGAGTCTTGCTCTTGTTGTCCAGGCTGGAGTGCAATGGTGCGATCTCGGCTCGCTGCAACCTCCGTCTCCCGGGTTCAAGCGATTCTCCTGCCTCAGCCTCCCGAGTAGCTGGGATTACAGGTGCCTGCCACCACGCCTGGCTAATTTTGTATCTTTAGTAGAGATGGGGTTTTGCCATGTTGGCCAGGCTGGTCTTGAACTCCTGACCTCAAGTGATCCACCCGCCTCAGCCTCCCGAAGTGCTTAGATTAGAGGCACGAGCCACTGTACCTGGCCAGGGCAGTCTTCCAGCTGATAGAATGCTCCCCTCATCTGTCCTTGGGCAGCTGTCTGGAAGGGCGGGGAGTGGAGCAGTGGGTGGGAAGTAGGGGATCACTGGACAGGACCCTTCATTTCTGCAGGGAGCAACTGCGGTTTCCTGCACATCACCCAGGGTTTCTTGTCCTCATCAGCAGCCGTGAGGAAGCAGGAGAAATTCAGAGTTGGACTCCCTGCCCCCGACTTCACTTCACTCTGGCCAGACTCCTAGGTAGTTTTGGGGACCTGCATTATGAGTCGTACTGGCTACGAGGTGCCCCACTCTGAATGCTGAGGGGGTGTAGCTGATCATGAGGTCACCAGGGTCTCAGCAGGGTGGCAGAGGGGGCCACCCGCAGGAGAAGCTGCTGGGGCCTGAGTTCCTTTGGCTTAACCTTGCAAGCCCATGTGGGGTGGTGATGGGGACAGAGGGAGATAGCATACGTTAGGGGCTAAATTCCCACGCCGAGGTCCTAACCCCCAGGACCTCAGAATGTGCCTGTATTTTGGGATGAGGCTTTTAAAGAGATGGTTCAGATAAAACGAGCTCATTGGGCTGGGCTCTAATCTAATAGGGCTGGAGTCCTTATAAAGAAAGGAGACGAGGATGCAGATGGGCGAAGTAAAGACCCAGTGAGGGCCCAGGAAGAAGACGCTGTCCGCCAGCCCAGGAGAGACGCCCCAGGAGAGGCCAGCCCTGCCCACTCCTGGATCTTGGCCTTCCAGCCCCCAGGACCATGCGAAGTCAATCTCTGCTGTTTAAGCTGTCCCGTTTGTGTGTTTGTCACAGCGGCTCCGGAAAAGTAAGAAGACACGTATTGCAGAGAGGGACAGGCCTGCTACAGATGAGGTGCCCAGCTACTGGCCCCTTTTCGAGTGGGCACCTGGGTGCTGGGATCTAGGGCCTCCACTTTGGGATGGGGGTTCTGACATCCCAGGTTCTGGTGTCCTCAGTGGGGAAGCTGGTCCCTTGGCTTCTCCAAGGGTTGGAGGCAACTGCTTCCCTAAAATACGAAGGTCAGGGTGACCTTTAGCCTCTCTCCCAGATCAAGCAGCCCAGGTCAGTGGGAGGGGTCCCTTGCAGCCCTGTCCAGCAGTGAGGGCTGTCCGCCCCCAGCTCCCCTAGGCAGGAGGAGGGGGCCCTGGCCTCCTCTCAAACCCCAGGCTCTGAGCTGGGACTGAGGGCCAGGGCTGCTTCGTGACACTGAGCCCCCCTGGCAGGCAGGGGCAAAGGTGTGGCAGGGCCTTGGCCTCGGTTCCTGAGGAGGGGGCTGGCACGTGGAGTGGCAGGATGTTCCCACATCTATCTGCAGATTTATGTCAATATGGATTATGGAATTTGGTCCCAGTTTTCCCTTCCCTTTCCCCTCCCCTGCCCCGGAACATCGGGGGTATTAGAGCCCTTGGGTTGGTGGATTTCTGCAGCCTGTCAACGAGCGGCGCTTAATTCTCAGGCAAATGTCTACTTATCTCACTGTGCGGTGGGCTTAGGCCTCTGAAAGGGACTGCCTGGCTCAGGCTGGGAGGCGGTGGGAGGGAAGGAGGCGGCTGCGGGGGGGGCGGGGGTGGGGCCGTGGCCACAGAGAAGCGGGGGGTGGGGCGTGGGCATGTGACCCACACCTGTGGCCTCTGGGCTCTGTGTCCACGCAGCTGTCACAGCCAGGCTGGCCTCTCCTGCGCGGTGCGACTCCTTACAGACCCCTTTGTCTTTCTAGGGCTCAGCTCTTCTGTCTGAGTGTGGGTAGCCGTGGGGATGAGGCTGGTGGCTCAAGCGAGAATCCGCACCTTCACCAGGAGGCTAGGCCGTCACCCAGAGCTCACCCCCCTGTGGCCTGTGGCCAGAATTCTGTCCTGAGCCCACCTTTAGTTCAGAAAGATGCAGGTGACAGGCATGTGTGAAGCTAAACTCAGGCGAGAGTCTGGTCACTCACGTGCAGCCAAGCCTCCCATCCCCTCCCCCAGAGCAGGGACAAGGAGCAGGAGGGGCAGGGACAAGGAGCAGGCGGCTCGCCTTGCAAGCTGGGAAGACCGGCTCAGACATCCTAGAACTTCCCGCAGGCGTGGGCCGAGGCGGGCTTCCTCAGGGCCCTGCAGAGCTAATGGGGGCCACAAAAAAAACACTGATCATTCAGAAGGGCTTTAGGTCAGTGAGCCACGCAGAGGAGGGCTGGGCGGCCTGGCCAGGGGTGCCATCAGCTCTGATCTCGGGACTCCGTGAGCTCACTTTGCGCAGGCAGGACCCAGTTCCCATTCTGCAGAAGTAGGAGCTTCCTGGCCTCCCACTCCTCATCTTCACAGGGGCCTGGGGGTCCCCAAGGTGGAGTGGCCCCTGGCCCTTGGCTCCTGTCTCTCCCTGCTTTCGACCCACTCCTCCCCTGGTTTCAGAGCCACAAGAACCACAAAATTAGTTCTAAAAAAATTACCCCTTCATTTCATCACTAATCCCCTAACTCCCTTAATTAAGTCAATGGTAGCCTAAATTGTTCTAAACATCTTTTGGGGGATTAAATATTTTAATCATCATTATCCAATGAATATTTGATTATATAGCCATCATATAGTGAAGAGTAAAAATTATAATCCAAAAAAAGGCATTTAATAACACTTTAAACGACCAGGCGTTTGATAAAGGGCATTAGGGGATTAGGTGCTGGATTGAAAGACTGGATTGTGCTTCTCAGTCAAGGACTCGAGCTATCATTTTATTTAAAAAAATAAGACCACGATTTAAGAAAAAGGAAAACAGAAACCTAAGCTGCCGCATCTTCTCCCATGCCAGCCCCCTCTGCCTGGGTAACAAGGTGTCATATTTGAACAGCTGTTTTGAAATGATTCCTATAAATATCACTGGGCTTGGGGTTTCTGCAGAGTTTCACGGGAGCCCTTGAGTTGGCTGATGAGGTGCAGAGTCTCGGGGTTACATTGGATCGTGAGGGTGCCACGGTGAGGCCCCACACACCCATCTCTGGGATGAGGATGCTGAAGTCTGGGGAGAGCCTGGACTCTTGTGGGTCACCCTGGTTTGCTGCACTGATCTGGAGCCTGGACCTCCCCCTCTCCGGGTTGGGCCCCTTCTGTGACCTCAGGTGACCGCCCCAGGTGACCGCCCCCAGCCCTGCCTGCCCCATGCAGTCCAGTATCTGATGCCACTCACACCATCCCAGACATGACTGTCCCTCTCCCTGCCCAGCACCCACCATCCTGGACACTGGGGGCCCCAGAGGCACGGGGCTGCCCCACCCGCACACCTTCTGTGTTGCATCTGTGGCAGGAGAGGCTGCACCGCCAGGCCCCTTCTATTGACGTCTGCTGAAATCATTTGAGACAAAGTTACTGCACAGGCATTAGAGCCACTTTTCAGAGCGAAACATCTGTCATTTAGCTCGATGACGCTACGGGGACGGCACTTTAGAACAATCTTGTTGCATTTAATTTATTTTCTTCCGGATACCGCAGAGAAAAGGGCAACTTCCTAGGTGCTGAGTGTGGACAAATTCACCTCGTGTGGGTGGAGAAAACCCCCATCCAGAGGCAGGACGTGGCCTCCGTTCCCAGCGGCCCTCCCCACCCACCACCAGCAGATTGATTTATTCCCCTGCAGGCTGCTGGGGGGCCACCGTGGGAACGCAGGCGGACCACCTTCTCAATGCCCTGGGAAAAAGGTGTCGGTCTGCTGGGGCAGAGATGGGGGCCAAGTGCGCTGAAATCTGCCCCGCTGGGGCAGGGGTGGGCCGTGAAAGCCCACGGGGCCATCCTTTCCCACCTCTGTCATCCCCTCCTCCCAGCAACCAGAGCCTGGTCCTCTGGGACCCGCATGTCCCTCCTGCAGCCCGAGGAAACTGCAGAACAAGCCCCTGCCTGGTGTCCCCCCACCCAGGAGCAACCGTGAGCCCCACCCTCAGGGATGCCCGAGAATTCAAAAGTCCTTTCCCGGCCTCATGTCCCCTGGCCTGTTGGCACCTCTGAGAGACTGATAGAGGGGCCCTATTTTTACATCAGAGGAAGCAGAAACTCAGAGAGGTGTGGACGCTTGCCCGAGGACACACAGCTGGGCAGGGACTGACAGGGATTTTAAGGCGGGCTTGTGTAGCCCTGTAGCCAGAGGCTTCTGCAGCGTGCATCCTCTTCAGGGCGGAGGAGACTGGTCCCAAGATGCCTGGGAGGATGTGGGAAGGTGGGTGGGGGCTGGAAGGGGCTGCAGTGGGAGGTGCCTGTCTAAGAAGTTCCTGCTTCTCCACCCTGGTCCCTCCTTGTGGGGTCTCAGGGCAGTTCCGGAAGCTCAGGTTTTGGCTTCCTGTCTATAATATGGGGGTGCTGATGCTGGCCCCAGGGGGGCCCACCCCAGACTTCACCTCTGGGTCTGTGAATGCACAATTCTGGGATCTCCCTATCCTGGAGAAGCCCCCTCCTCCCCGGCCGCTGGGGCGGGGCTGGCCTGGCCTGGGGCACATTCTAGTGACCACAGCTCCAGTCGCCCACTGGCCTACGGCCTGCTCTGAGGGCAAGGCTGTGTGGCAGGTGCTGGGCAGAGTTCCCGCAGCCTCTCCTCCTCCAGGCGACATCCTGGTGTCTCCCAGAAACTCCTTAACCCCGTGTTGGAGCACAGTGGAAGTCGGTTCTCAGTTCAGGGTGTAGAGCCATGGGGACAGGACGAGATGGGGAGGCACCAGGCGAGCTCCTCCTCATTGTCCTCGGCCGAAGCCCTGGGTTTCCTGGGAGGCCTCCTGCCCTCTTCCCTGTCCCGGGAGGCCCCCAAAGCCTGGCTAAGGGCCAGGAGGAAGAGGCTGAGTGACCGGGGCTGGGATGCCCAGCCAGCCAGCCCTGTCCCATGGCCAGGCCCAGGGGTCTCTCTCCTGAGGTTGGGGTGCTGGGAGAGGAGCACCCCAGCCCCCCCAGGGCACAGCAGGCTCCCTTCATCTCGTGTTGTATCCTCAGAGGGGACGGGGGTCCCAGCCCCGCCAGTGGGCAGGTGTCGATGCAGGGCACGGCAGCCTGCAGGAAGATTGTTTTCCTCCTGCCGCTCATGTTTGACTTGAAGGGTGGGTTCCAGCCCGGCTGAGCCCGCCCAGGGCCCAGGCACCTCCCAAGCGCTTGGTCTCCCATCAAACGGCATGAATAATTTAGTCTCTAATTAAAAGTGAGGTCAAGCGATGAAAAATGGCTGGACGCACAGTGGCACGTGATGCATTAAATTGCTGGCAGATCAGAGGCAGGCGGGCCGGGGGCTCTGGTTTACACACCAAACCTCCCGGATTTTGGCTTCGGGGGCCAGCAGCCGGGTCCACCCTGAGGGAGAGTCCCCAGGTGATCGAGAAGCTGCTGGACAGATCCCAGAGAGCCCCTGGCCAGCCCTGCCCCCACTTCACCTCCACCGCACCCGAGGGGCTCCTCCCCAGCCTCCCAGCCTCCTGCCTTCCCCACGCACACCAGCTCGTCCTGCCTAAGTCTGCATGATTCCTTCTGGAACACGCGTCCCCCAGGTGTCCAAGTAACGTGCTCCTGCGCTCCAGCGAGCTCTCTGCCGGAGGTCACCTTGCCTGCTAGCCCCAGCTAAAATGCCACCAGCTACCTTCTGCATCCCTGGCCTGTGAACTCCCAACTCACTTCCTCCCCATACCTCGCCAGCACTTCTCCCTACTTGGGGTTCGTTCTAGTTTATATTCGTTTGTTTACTTGCCAAGTGCTTGGCTCCCCAACTCCAATATAAGGACAGGGTCTTGGCTTGGTCCCTCTGTGAGTCTAGCACCAAGGATGGTGCCCGGTACATA